AGTACTAGGTACATCTTGTAAAATCGGTTTTGCAATATTCTTATTTTTATTTGCTTTATTATTTTTATTATTCGACTTACTATTTTCAATTGTTATGCTATTAATTTGTTGTTCTCCGCCGCTATCTTTTTGAGCATGACGTGAACTAATATAATCATCATTATCCAAAGAAGATAAAACTTTAATAAATTCTGAAATCTTTTTTATATGTCTAGCTTGAACTAATAAACGCACATCTCTATCAAAATGTCGAGATAATTTATCTATTAATTCTTCTTCATCTAGATTTTCATTTATATCAAAAGCTAAATTAATCTTACGTATAGCATAATTATAACGTGATAATTTTCCACCAAAATATTTTCCAAATTCTATTTCGCGAGTAATATTTCTACGTATTTCAGCGTTCCAAAATTTCTCTTTAAATAACATTTCAAAATCTTCAAAATTTCTAATTTCCCGCTGTACTAAATCATACCAAGAAGAATTTACTCCCGTCATAGATTGAGATAACAAACATAACAATTGAGCAGTATTATAATTACTTGCTTGCAAATAACGTTTGAGATCATTTAAATATTTTACTGGTCGATATTTATAACTATCGTCAAAAACTGGACACGTTAAAGCAGGTTGCTTAATAGTTTCAATAATAGTTTCATTAACAATTGATCTATTTTGTTCATTATTCTTAATTTTATCAATATTTTCACGAAGTACTGAAAATGTTTCATTCATTTCCATAGTAACATTATTTTTCGCTCGAACAATATCATTAAAATTATCTTCACATCTATCTTTTAAAATAGCAATAATTTCATTTGACTTTTCTAAATTTGATTCTAAACTCTTAATTATTTGATCCTGTTCAACCATTTTATTCGTTAATCTATCAACTTTATTACTTAAATTGTTAATAGTTTCACAAATTGTCTTAAAATCATTTTGTAATTTAAATTGATCAGTATGAAATGTCTTTAATTCATCTACTACGGCTTTTTCCCATTCGTGCGTTCTTTTTTGTTGCACGGTCAATTCTTTACCAATTAGTGATTCACTAAGTTCGTTAAGAATTGTTTCGGGAGCACATTCAGTAGAATTATACATTGAACGTTTTTCGTTTGACATTGTAATATCAACAAAAAAAATCCAAAGCATACAATTAATTCAACACCAATAATAAATAATATATATAGATGATACTAATTAATCAATTTTCAATAATATATAGGATTTAACAAATAATTGAACAAATTCAAATTATATATCGTAGTAATCAAATTTATTATAAATAACAATACAATTTATGCGCCTGGAGCAGGCCTAGATACTAACATATGTTCTACAGTGTCAGCCAAATGATTTAAATCAGAGCTCATATTTTTCAAACTAGTATCAAACAATTTCATGTTCTTTTTGTAATTATTGCCTAAATTAACAAACGATTCTGCAAGTTCCATATACAATGTACGTAGTTCATTTATTTCTTTTTCTAATGACGCATTCTTACATAGTACTGCTCGCATATGTTTGTTTCTTTTCGGCATAATAAAAAATTTACAATTAAATTACAAACTAATATAAACTAAATAACAAATACTTAACAATAACTAATGTAACAAGAGTCCTGTCACGGTCGCCAAATGTGATGTTCGTATCACTTATAAATTAAAATAATTCGAACTCTTGTAATGTAGCTAATGAGTAAGAATTTGTTTCCGATGATTTTACTCTAATTTCAAGATAATAAATAAATGAAACAAATATAATTATTAAGTAAATCAAATATATATAAGTAATTGCAAAATATTGAGGAAAGTCAGACAATGCCCTAGTTTCTTATGGTGCGAGTTGTCCCATAAGCAGAGCTAAAGTCTTTCTTGGATAGGATATAATTCGGCCCAAGTTTCTTATAGTGCGAGATGTTCTATAAGTCGAGCTCAAATTATAAGGAAAGGTTAGTCTTGCTTAGTAAATCACAATGAGAGAAAGAACTTAGGTGTTAATCCAAGTTTATTCAAACTCATGCGCTCACTTTGCAAGGCTAGAAGTGAATGCTCTAGCCTGTGCAAAGGTGGGCCTATTTATACACAGATTTTCCCGCTTATTATTGCAGGAGAGATTTCATCGAAAATTCGAGATACATTCGCGAATTTTGAGAAATGGTTTTTCTTAATTTACAAGTAAATAGCCATTAATATTAAGTTTTTAACACGTATAAATTTTACAGAATTAGTTATTTGTTGATTTTATACAATATACAATTATCGCCAATAGTGTTGTCAAAAGTTATTAACTAATAAAGTTAATTAACGTGATATTACATTATTTACAATAGAAAATTGTTAAAATTTCATATAACCTTAAAGTTGATTAATTTTGGAAGTATTTTCCAAAATTAATTATTTAAATTAATTAATAACATTTGAATTATGACTAATTTTTCATATTTGTAACGATTTTCTTCTAATCTTAATATGCGATTATGAGATTAATTATCTAAGATTTCTAAATCATAAAATTGTTATTATCAAGTATTAACTTAATATTTTCGTTCTATATATAGCTTATTGTTTAAATAAATTATTATTTGTTTATTTATTAATAACAGTTGTTATTTAGCTGTTATTAATGAAACCAATTCTTACTCATGTTCTATGCTTATTCATTTTACATATAAATTATTTATATTTTTCTAATATTTCATATGTTAATAAATAAATTAACTTTACATATCGATATTCATTATAAATTTATAATTAAATGAGATATTGTGAATCTGTATGTTAAAATCTATATAATTGATACTTTGTTATATTCAAATTATCTATAATTAACATATTTTTCTCAATATTATGGTTCATTATATCTATGTCTATTATTTGTGACGTCACGCTATTTGTTTTGACTCGACTTTTATTTGTATACAGTCGCATAAACAGTGAGGTAGCGCCGCTTAATGTATTGTTTTGACTAACAGATAAATACGTTAGACTAGTTGCAGTCATTTAATAAACAGCTCATAGATAGGACCGTTACAGCTGATGATAGTAAAAAAAAAGTTGGAACTAAAGAATTTGCAATATCAATAGCGGAAAGTCACATTCATGATGCTGAAAAAATAAGGAAAAGCATACAACAATTCGAAAAAAGAAACAGAACAAGTGTTCCATTTGTCCAATAAGAACATATGTGTACTGTGAGAAGTCAATTTGTTTTTTTGCAGTGCATGCATGAAAGCAAAGCATGTCTGATTACAGTGAGAGGCCAGGGAACTCACTATAAAAAAGCACCTCGTAGAGTGAGAGGCGAGAGGACTCACTATAAAAAAGCACCCCGAGGAGTGAGAGGCAAGGGGACTCACTATAAACAAGCACCTTGAAGGAGACATGATTTTACTACGTCCACGCTGTTGTCTCTGGGTTACGCTAAGAGTAAAATATAAATATAAACTGAAAGTAGTCACACTTTAGAGGTACTTACGCAATACTTTATTTAGAACCTCTTGATAAATTAAACTTCGGTACGTCTATACCCCAACTTATCTTATGAAATTCCAAAAGTTGAAACGGTTGAATAGAATTTCCACAATTGTTTGAGAATTTTTTTCTCGAAAACTATAAGCTTTTGGGAAAAATTTATAAGATCAAAAATGTCTTAGAATTAGCCAAAGAAGACTCTAATTTTTCCAAAATTTTTAGAAATTTTTTTGAAATTTTCAATTCTGTAATTTTTTGAAAAATTAAAAAAAATTTTAGAGTGTTCCTTGACATATTATAAGTCATTTTTGTAATATAAGGTTTTTTCCCGAACCTCATAGTTTTTAAGAAAAAAAATAGTAACCTAAAACGCATTTTTTTTTCCAGATTTTGGCATTTTTTCCGCTATTTTGGAAAAAAACTTTGAATATAAAAATTTTCTGTTAAAGTTCAACAATTTTGTGCACTCATGGTTGAAGAAAGATTTCGAGATTGACATGTGTTATGGTAGAAAAAAAATACCATAAAATTTTTTTTTTCAAAATTTCCTTATTTTTTTATAAAAAATCGGCCATATTTAATTCTGTAAGCAAAATTTTTGAATTTTGAGCCCGGATTTAGATTCAGCACACCCAAAAACATAAGGTATGGTACCCTGGATCAATTTATTGTTTCGTTTTAGAAATGAATTTTGCGATCAAAAATATGTCCAAAAACTGACCACTTTGGTCGTTAATGGGTTAATGATAATTGATCAACTGTATCTATAGAAGAGATCATTTTTTTCGAATAATCAATAAATAGTTTATAGTTGTTTTGATGGTATATATCTTTTAGCATTTAACTAATTTTTTCGAATGTGTCGAACTAATACGCATATCGAAAAAAATTAAGGAATGTAAAGAATAGAATATGTAATGTATAAAAAGATTATTTATTTGTGAAAATATATAATTTTTATAAATGATAAAAAAATTCCTTATTGTTAAAATGAAATTGGAAATCTCTCTTACTGTAAGTCTCTCTTGCTACATTAACAAGGATGAGAATATCTTTCCCGAACATGTTAGATAAGGTATTTTTTCGATGAGCGTGCGATAGAGTCATACTTTTAGGAACGGCGTGTTGAAAAACCGACTGTCAATCTTTATAAGTCATACCTTTCTCTTATAAATCCATGATTATTTCCAGATAAAAGTCTTCTGCAACATCCGTTATCTCAAATCTAGTACTTTCATAAAGAGAGTTTCGATAGATTGATCTTGTAGTTGTAGTTATTTCTATTAATAGTATTAATAGTATTAACCTTATCATAAGTAATTTGATGAGATTATCCTGAAGATTAAAGTTTAGAAATCAGAATTTCACTATCACCTAATAACTTTGTTTTTTTAATTATTATAATTGAAGTTAATATGATTGTAGTTCTTTCATTTAGATTTCAACAATATAACATAAATAAATAAAGAGGATATTTAATACGATATAGATAATATCTAATTCATCATTTATTATTTACAGGTTTGGAAAGATGGCCCAATGGAGTGTAGATCGTCGAGACATGGAAAACATGCGAATTACAAAAGTCGGAAATAGTACAATGAAAGTTGTCGTTGAAGGAGAAGAGAGGATAACTCGATTAGGTTACGATTCTCCGCCCCCTGGTCATTATCCAGAAGCTTTGTTAACACAAGGTCCAAGAGGGCTCGATAGCTGGGATGATGTCCATGTGAGATATGATTACTACAAATCTAGAGGTTATTTAAGAGATCTTACTTTGGATGACTACATTAAATGGGAAGAATGGTGGTATAAATACCAAGAATGGTTAGAAGCAGAACGCTATTATGAACAGTGGGCTGTACAATCAGCAAGTCGATCTTCCTCTGGAAGCGGTAGAAAAAGACGTCGCAGAAATAATACAACTCATTAAAAATAATTTAGATTCATAAGTTTGATTATGATTGCTTATATTAATTAATTGAAATAGTTCTATTAAAAGACATTAAATTACCACAACTTATTATGTATAGAAAATATTCAATTTTTCAAGTTATACAATAACTAGACTTTTTAATACTTCAATTAAGTCTTCGTAAATGTTGTTTCAAATTTTTCTATTTCGTGACAGACATCGAACCGAAAAGCTATATGCTATATATTAATTACATACAACACACACACACACAACATAAGTTCAATTGGCACAGCTACTTTTTTTTATCAGAAAATATCTTTGACAAAATATCCTGGCTATTACATATATATTCATACGTATTTACATACGCATATCCATATCACAATCAAATTATACTTAAATAGCCGTATACATAAGTTGTGCCTTATCAGGGAACATTTATTTATTCAGACGCATTTATTACACTCCTCTGCACTTTCTTTAGCCCCCCTAAACTAAATATTAGAAGATGTTTAAAGTTTTTCCTCTCAACGAAAAATAGTTGCAGCTTAAAAGAACTCAACGAGGTTTGAAAGCTCGTTAAAAAAGCTTTAAAATAAACTTTAAAATAAACTAAGTATGATAAGAAAAAGTTAAAAAATGAAATTTTTTATATAGATATAAAAAATGAAATATGAAATATTTATTTTTCTTTCGTCACACGTAGTCAGTTTCCGTTGTAGTTCCGAATATCGGATCTTACAAAAATTTATCAGAATTGAAAGCTGAATATATTCTCTTAAAAATGGTACCTCGATATGTTTCATACTATATATTTGACCATGGCTATAAGTGTTTTTATGAAAAAAATACATTTTTTTTCAATAAATAAAATGTTCAATACTACGCATCATACAAAAAGACTTATTATGGAAATAATGTTTATTTTTATACAAAATATATAAAAATAACGTTAGAATGAGTTTTTGAAAAAAAATAATAATAATAATCAGCCCTTCAATCCAAATGGAAATTTTTTTTTAATTAATACTTTTTAATTTCAATGTATGAAAAGAAATATATTTTTAAAACAATAGTTTCTTGAAAATTATTGTAAGAGAAAAATTTAAATTGCTAAAATTCTGTCAATTAAGGCGTATTTGTAAGCATGAAAACTATTTTTTGGGATATGCAAACAATATTTGTATTTTCAAAATTTTTCCGTCATAAAATTTAATTTCTATCCATCAGTAATTAGTTCATCGTCGTTGTAAGTAAGTATATGTAAATTACAATTAAAAATATGGCAAAGTCAAAGAATTTATCGTTAGTTGTTACCAATCACATTATTGCTTTGCATAAAATAAAAAACATATAACGAGGCAATAGCAGGAAAGGTAAATAGTAGTCGGCGAACTGTTCATTACAATGTAAAAAAATTTACGGATACTAACTGTAGAAAACAATTGTGGCAAAAAATATAAAAGAAAAACAAGTGCTCATGGAGATAAGTACATTGTAAGAACAGGATTACCAAATAGAAGAATGACTGTGCGTGAAATATTATTTGCTGTAACGAAATGTTTAAACAATCTAGTAAGTAAAACTATAGTTTGCAGAAGACTCAAAAAAAAACGAACTTCATAAATGAATAGGTGCTAAGAAACTTCTTTTAACAACTGTAAATGTGAAATAAAAATAAAAATGAGCTAGACAACATCAACATTGGACGATTGATAAATGGAAAAAAGTATTATGAAACGATGACTCCAAATTTGAAATCTTTGGTACCAAAAAGAAAGTTTACGTACAAAAAAGAAAAGGTGAAAAATTTATAAGTGATTATATTGTGTTCAGGATGAAGTATGATCATGGCTCTGTAATGATGTGGGGATATTTCAATGGGATTCAAATTGGAGATCTTGTAAGAATTAAAGGTATTAAAAAAAGAATATTATATTATTTTATAAAATATTATTTTATAAAAAAAGCGCTGTGCCCTCAGGGAAATGTTTGATTGGAATTACATTTATTTTTCAATAAGATAATGATCATAAGCACTCCTTAAAACTATGTAAAAGGGTCATTTCACGGTAACATGGCACACTTTCAGGTCCGACCATCCCAGATCTTTTTCCAAATTTCTCCTCTCAAAGGAGGCACCAACGATAGATGATTTCAGCCCTGAAACACCATTTTCACCCACTCACTGATCTGAGCCATGCTGATGAAGTCAGTCATTCCCATTTTTTTTTTTTTTTTTCAAACTCATACCTCGGCTTTGAATTCCTTTGAAAAAAAAATCGAAATATCATTTTCAACGTAAAATTTCCAGTAGATTTCGAAAAAAATATCAGTTTTCCTGTCGAAAATGATTAAAGTCTTTAAAAATCAAAAAAAAGTTTTCAAATTGATTTTTCACCGTTTTCCCCAAACTTTTATTCCAATTTAATTTTTTTTTTAAAAGAGCGGAAAATTCTACATGAAAAACACTCTTAAAAAGAATGCGGTCAACATTTGTTCATACGTTATAAATAAATTGATGAAAATTAATGAATTAGTAAAATTCAAATTCGACACCAAATTCATAAGGCGCTCTCTCTCTCTCCCTCTCTCCATGTGTTTGATATAACGTAAACAAGTACCGATCATTTGATGAGAGTTCATTGCTTCTGAATCTACAAAACCAGCATTACTTAATCGAAATAACATCAATTCAATTCTTTCTCTTGGAAATCAATTTTAACGGTATAAATTGTTGATATCAAGTATTGTTGAGAATTCCGAAGAAAAATGTCTTTAGCAAGTTTAGTTTTTCCATACGTTATAAATAAATTAACAAAAATAAGTCTTTCTACTACAAAACAAAAAATTTCAAGTCATACTCACTGTGTATTCCACCCATTGCTCTTATTTTTTCACACTGTCTATTTTGTTCAAAAATCCGTTAATTCTATACAGAAAACTATTCATAAAAGTATGGGTGCAATATTTGTCCGAATGCAATGAATAAATTAGCGAAAATGATTTTTTTAACAATAGAGCAAAAAATTCAACTTCGGTATAATAATACACAAAAAGAAAAATATATCAATGGCTTTTCAAGAATGCTGATCTTTATTTGATTTTATGTACTTTCGAATCATTTGATACTGAAACAGTTTTCGTTATTATTTTTGAAGTTGAGTCTACATCTACTATAAATGCATGCGACTGAAGTGTTCCTTTAACCGCTCTGAGATTACGGAATCTTTCTTGCAAAAATTGACTGGTTTGGACGTAATCATCATTGCTGCAGTGAATAAAATCAATCGATTTGAATTTGTTCCGACCCCATTCATAAAACTCAGAAGCATTCAAAATGTTTCTCTGTGACCCAAATTGTAGGCAAGCTCTCCGAGCTTGACTCTTCACCATTCCACCAAGACCATCACACGGTCCTTTTCCATGAGCTGTTGCAAAAAAGTGCCATTCAGCATTCATTCCAAAATCACTATCATGAAGGCATAAATTTTTGAAATTTTTCTTGTTTTTGAAATGTTGAGGTGCTCCATCAGTAAAATAATATATTTTGTTGACGATTGGAATTTTTAATTTAATTAACTCCATCAACCTTTTTTGAAACATGAATACTGAATTGGTATCATGAGTTGTATTTTCTAAAACACCTAAAAAACTAAGATTTTTTAAGGTTCCGTTATCTTTATAATATACGACCGGGGGAAGTATAGCAATATTTGTGTTGTTCCAGTAGAATCCTTGAACGGCATTCTGAATTATTACTGCATAATTCTCAGAAAAGTCTAATGTTACCAACAATTCACCTTCTTTTAAATTATTTTTCAACTTCTGGTAGTATTGACTTTGCGTTTTAGAAACGTAATCATGTTGCACAAGTTTTTCAAGCGATTCTATTAAGGAATCGATGAATTCTGAGAAATTGCTAGAAACATTCATCAGCTTACAGCGATCAGTACTCATCCAAGCTTTGTAAGAAAACTCTTCTATGTCATTCTCTTGGTACACTTCTTCGATGAGCTCTTTTATTTCAGTACTTTTAGGGCAATTTTCGCAAGTACGAAAATAGCAACTTTCTGTTGGCTGCAGACATACAAATTTTTGTAACAAATCACTGTACGATTTGTACTCCCCGTCAAACAATTCATTATTTTTTATCAATGTTTCAAAATTACAACCTAAAACAAATAAAGAAAAACTGTATATTGTAATTGTTTCTAATGTATTAAAATAAAACAGAAACTATAAAAATACCTTCCAACATTAATTTCACATTCTAATGGTACACGCACACACATACGGTATGAGTACCAGCACTTCCAGCAAGAACACAGTGTAGAGGTCTTAATAATGTGAATTTGGTAAATCCTATTTTCAAATCGCTTTCTTTCTTAAAACTTTTATAAAGTTCTTTTAAATTTGACAATATTAATTTTTTCTGCATCAACTTCCTAGTTCCATCAGGCATTTTTATCGACTTAACATCTTTTCTACCAGGCAACTGACGTGAATTATCTTCTCTTTCATAAAAATTTTTGATGAGTTGTTCAATTTCGGCACTCAATCCAGTTTTTCCAGGCACCCTAATTTCAACTTTATCTTCTCTCAATTTTTTCATATCTCTAATCAAGTGGTTGGATTTTAAATTCAAAGAAGTTTGACTTTTTCGAACACTCCAATCTTCCGGTAACAACATCAGAATTTTAATTTTTTTGGATCTATTATTTGAAAAAACAAAATTGTAGGAAAAACCAATAAGATACGATAAAAAATGATTTCCATACTTATCAGTTTCACGTTTGAAGCTTTCTTCAATATTTGTCAAAATTTTATTGTAATCAAGAGTAATTTTTTCAGTTGATAATAACATAGAGCATTCAAAATTTGATTTGAATTTTTTGGTGGCAACTTCATGCACTTCATCTAATTTTTTTTTTTTTTTTTTCAAGGAGTTGCGGAATCCTTTTTGCGGATTCCCCTTAGTCTTTCTGACTGAGGGGTTATATGGGACTCCCCGAAAAAAAGGCCTACCCACTAAACCGCCATCTCCTTGGTGTCCTTCCCCCCAGCCAGGGACTATGTTGATATTACTTCTGACTGGAGGTTCTGTCTGTGTTCGTCCGTTCGTGTCGTTCCTCCGTATTTTGTTACGTCGCGTTACTTCGTCTGCTCAGTCATCTGTCAGGCAGCCGTCCGCATTCTTACGTCTCAGTATAGTTTCCGTATAGGTAGCGACTAAATGCCACCATTTGGGTTCACGCAGCATTAGAGCGACGATGTTATCGAGGGTGATACTGCCGACCGTTTCTTCCAGTTCCTGTCTGAGTCTTGTCCAGCGGTCACACGCGAAAAATATGTGTTCCGCGTCGTCTCGGTCGTGTCCACAGTACTTACAATTGGGTGTTCGTAGTCTGTTCATATTGTAGAGGTACCGTCGGAAGTACCCGTGGCCCGTCAAGAGCTGGGTGACGTAGAAATTTACATCACCAAATTTCCTTCCGAGCCACAGCCTCAAGTCCCGTATCAATCGTCTCGTCCAGTTACCAGCTCGTTCCTCTGTCCATCGGCCTTACCAAATGTCAATTGTCCTGTCGCGCTCAGCGATTGCCGCGCTCTTTCGTCCTATGTCCGCACTGCTCCCGTAGATCCTTTTGCGTTCAAAGGCCAGAAGATCCACGGGTATTACGCCAGTCACCACCAAAACAGCCTGCGT